AGACCACCTCAAACCTCCACAAAGGATTTTTAAACAACCCCAAACTTTCACAGGTGATGCTCAAACCACCCCAAACTTTGGGAAACTTTGACAGAGGATTTTATAACAACCCCAAACTTGGACAGACGATGCTCAAACCACCCCAAAACTTTGGGAAGCAACGATCAGACCACCTCAAACCTCCACAAAGGATTTTTAAACAACCCCAAACTTTCACAGGTGATGCTCAAACCACCCCAAACTTTGGGAAACTTTGACAGAGGATTTTATAACAACCCCAAACTTGGACAGACGATGCTCAAACCACCCCAAAACTTTGGGAAACAACGATCAAACCCCCCCAAACCTCCACAAAGGATTTTTAAACAACCCCAAACTTTGACAGGTGATGCTCAAACCTCCCCAAAACTTTGGGAAGCAACGATCAAACCACCCTGAAACTTCCACAAAGGAGTTTTAAACAACCCCAAATGTAGACAAAGGATGCTCAAACCACCCCAAAACTTTGACAGACGATGCTCAAACCACCCCAAACTTTGGGAAACTTTGACAGAGGATTTTTTAACAACCCCAAACTTTGGCAGACGATGCTCAAACCACCCCAGAACTTGGGGAAACAACGATCAGACCACCCCAAACTTCCACAAAGGATTTTTTAACCCCCCCAAACTCTGACAGACGATGCTCAAACCACCCCAAACGTTGGGAAACAACGATCAAACCACCCCAAACCTCCACAAAGGATTTTTAAACAACCCCAAATGTGGACAAACGATGCTCAAACCACCCCAAAACTTTGACAGACGATGCTCAAACCACCCCAAAACTTGGGGAAACAACGATCAAACCACCCCAAATCTCCACAAAGGATTTTTTAACCCCCCCAAACTTGGACAGACGATGCTCAAACCCCCCCAAAACTTGGGAAAACAACAATCAAACCACCCCAAATCTCCACAAAGGATTTTTAAACAACCCCAAAACTTTGACAGACGATGCTCAAACCACCCCAAAACTTTGGGAAGCAACGATCAAACCACCCCAAACCCCCACAAAGGATTTTTAAACAAACCCAAAAGCGGACAAACAACACTCAGACCACCCCAAAACTTTGACAGACGATGTTCAAACCACCCCAAAACTTGGGGAAGCAACGATCAAACCACCCCAAACCCCCACAAAGGATTTTTAACCAACCCCAAATGTGGACAAACGATGCTCAAACCACCCCAAAACTTTGACAGACGATGCTCAAACCACCCCAAAACTTTGGGAAACAACGATCAAACCACCCCAAACCTTCACAAAGGATTTTTAAACAACCCCAAACTCTGACAGACGATGCTCAAACCACCCCAAAACTTTGGGAAACAACAATCAGACCACCCCAAACTTCCACAAAGGAGTTTTTAACCGCCCCAAACTTGGACAGACGATGCTCAAACCACCCCAAACTCTGGGAAGCAACGATCAGACCACCCCAAACCTCCACAAAGGATTTTTTAACCCCCCCAGACTTGGACAGGTGATGCTCAAACCACCCCAAAACTTGGGGAAGCAACGATCAAACCACCCCAAACCTCCACAAAGGATTTTTAACCAACCCCAAAAGTGGACAAACGATGCTCAAACCACCCCAAACTTTGGAAAACAACGATCAAACCACCCCAAACTTCCACAAAGGATTTTTTAACCCCCCCAAACTTGTACAGACGATGCTCAAACCACCCCAAAACTTGGGGAAGCAACGATCAGACCACCCTGAAACTTTCACAAAGGATTTTTAAATAACCCCAAACTTTGACAAGTGATGCTCAAACCACCCCAGAACTTTGGGAAGCAATGATCAAACCACCCCAAATTTTGACAAGTGACTTTTCAATGACCCCAAACTTGGACAGACGATGCTCAAACCACCCCAAAACTTTGGGAAGCAACGATCAGACCACCCCAAACCTCCACAAAGGATTTTTAAACCACCCCAAATCTGGACAAGCGATGCTCAAACCACCCCAAAACTTTGGGAAGCAACGATCAGACCACCCCAAACCTCCACAAAGGATTTTTAAACCACCCCAAATGTGGACAAAGAACACTCA